CTCTCTCTCTCTCTCTCTCTCTCTCTCTCTCTGTGTGTGTGTGTGTGTGTGTGTGTGTGTGTGTGTGTGTGTGTGTGTGTGTGAGTGTGTGTGTGTGGCACTGTGTGCTGCTCCATATCATGTGTAGCTTGCACGGTGTATTCCCAAAGTCTGAGGAATCGTATGTTTGACATGCATTGGCTGCTGCATTGATGTTGTTATAATACTCCCAAATGGCGTTGTCGTCAGACCTCTTTGCACAATCGGTTGTGAGTGAAAGAAACCATGTCAAGGCTTGAAGTGAATTTACTGCGGTGAAGTATTGCTTCTTCCCAATTATCTGAATGAACCCGCCGTACTCAATTGCTCCGACCGCCTGAGACATAATCTGTTTCTTCCTCAGGATGGCGGACAAATTGAGTAGGCGTCAAGTTTTAACTGCTTTCGTTCAGGTAATGACGGCATCAATACACCGGTCAAAGCCAAATCTTGGCTAGGATCTGGCTTGTTTTGTGTGTCATGTCAGCGGGAAATCTCAGTTGGTGAGGAATCAATACACAAGCGTGTTGCCTTCTTGACGTCATGGGTTCAATTCACATTGGGTTCAATTCACATTGGGCCTTGTGTGTCATGTCAGCGCGAAATCTCAGTTGGTGAGGCATCAATACACATACGTGGTCCCCGCCATCCAGAGGTAGCGTGTTGCCCCCGCCAATGGGCATGAAGCAGATGCATACTGCTGATGTTTGTAGGGGGAGGGGACCGGAGCCGCGATGGAGGGGAGGCGCAGTGACCGGCCAGGGGCCACGCATACGAGCCCTGGCCCGTATGGGCCACCAGCTGGTTTGGTGCAGCCTCCAGTGGCCACTGGCCGCTTAAATTCTCTTGTGAACACGGTAGTGCCTACTACGGGATTTCTCGTATTACTCCTCTCTCTTTTTGTTTTACTCCTCTCTCTTTTTTGTTTTTTGTGAAACAGGAGGCCCAGGGGCAAGTGCCCAAGGCTCAGATTATCAATGGCTTACAACAACACCCGCCCCTCTCCCCATTATGGATGGAAGAGCCCTGGCCACTGCTCCCAGGAGACAGCTTCCCTAGCAATCACGAGGAAGTTTTCACCAGGAGGCATTGATCGGAGTTTATACGACTAAAAAAAAAAAAAAAACGGAGGCATTGATTATTTCTCCAAAAGAGAAGGATTGACCTCCCTTCCCTTCCGTAAAGCAACAATAGGTGAGCCATTCCAGATAGAGATATGATTCTTAAACCAACAGTACTTGGGCGACGCCTTAGCGTTAACGCTACGCGATTTCCGCGGCCAGCGGGCCGTCGATAAATCGAATTGACAGCCCGCGCTGCTTCGAGATTTGGGCAGCCGGCGCGGCGCGCAGTGCCCAAGTACTGGTGGTTTAACCGCCACAAACTTGGAGTTGATGCAACCAGCATCTTAGCAGTAGGGCAAATAATCAACCCCCTTTTCAACTGACATCCACACCTGGAACCAGTGCCGTACCCCCGTTCACCGTTCATGGGGTTCGTGAAAGAAGGCCGGTAACCGTTCATGGGGTTCGTGAACGAAGGCCGGTCACCTGTCACGATTTTTGTGACCTGCTGTAGTTCATGGAGTTCACGGTGAGCGGGAAGTTTTTTATTATTTTTTTCCAAACGTTTCTTTTTTTCTTGAATTATGAAAAAATAAAATTCTCAAAAATCGATTTCCGCCTGTGTTAGGCGTGCCAATTGTTGGCTTTGGGGCAGTTTTTGGGTCCGTAGGCCATGTCTAGGGTGTTGTTTCAACTWAAAAAAAAAAAMAAAAACGGAGGCMCCCCGCCATGCCGTTATGGAAGCARAATCCCAAAAAAAAAAAAAAAAAAAAAACAACGGTCCTGTTCTCGCCATTGGCCGTTGCCCTGTATCATTCTCACAAATCACACACACAGAGAGAGAGAGAGAGAGAGAGAGAGAGAGAGAGAGAGAGAGAGAGGGCAAGAGGGAGTCGCCAGTGCACAACAGTTGAGAGAGAGAGAGAGAGAGAGAGAGAGAGAGAGAGAGAGAGAGAGAGAGAGAGAGAGAGACATGGACGGGGTAGCTGCTATGTGGGTTGTTACCGACACCCCTATATATATATTTTCTCTACGCTACCTGCCATGGCCCTGTGCCAACCCAACCCCCTCCTCCACCCCCCAAATAATTTATTTTTTTTATCACACACACCCCATTCTGCATTTTTTTTTTTTTTTTCCCGAAGGCACGGGGGTGTAGAAGGCTCCCGCACCACCCCCCTCCCGCCCCGATCCCGTCAGTTCCGGCCTCCACGTGGGCGGAAACCACGTGAATGGCCGTTCACGGATTCGGCTCCGGTGACTGCCCAGTCACGTTCTGATGCTCATGTGACCATTGCTGGTCACGTTCATGGTGTCGGCACTGCCCGGAACACCATTTCTAATCATTCCTTTCTACCGCCCCGGGTATGTTGTCGTGCGTACACGTATGGGGCCTTTCCGTACATAACATAGACATATTTTTACGTGTGTAACCCATACGCTCTGCATACCAAGGAGGAAAAAAAAAAAAAAAAAAAAAACACTGAAAACAGAACATGTTATGTAAAATTTCTTATTAAAGTACCACAACAAAAAAAAGAGAAACAAAAAAGGGTAAATGAAAAAAAAGAAAAACCTCACTGCAACGACAATACGCCTGTGTGTGTGTGTTGTAGAAAGGTACACACACACACACCATTAAACACACACATGCACACCATCAAACACACACGTCCACAGACTCCACACCATTAAACACACACACGCACACACTGTCACAAACAGAACACAGTTGCACCCACACATTTTTGTGTTTTTCTTTTCTTTAATTATCCAGGGGTATATCCAATTGATAAATGGATTGGATATACCCCTTAACTACATGAAATAGGCCTTGAAACTTCGGTTTTTCGGCTGATTTCAGGTATACAGGGTGCACAGACACTAATTAACATCGCTACGCCCCAAAAACAAAACTTTTCGGGCCCCTCCCCTACAAGTAGCGTATGTGTACGGATTCATACAACCGTATAGGCCCGTATACAGGGTGCATGGACACTAATTAACATCTCTATGCCCAAAAAAAAAGACTTTTCGGGCCCCTCCCCTACAAGTAGCCTATGTGTATGGATTCATACAGCCGTACTGGCCCGTACGTCACGGTACGTGTACACAGTGCCATACGGATCGCTACGCAGCCTACTGGCAGCTTATCGGAAAAGGACAGAGATGATGAGTCACATCGACCCAAATACCACCCAACCATTTCCCTTAATACTATAGAAATAACAACAACAACAACAACAACAACAACAACAACAATAATAATAATAATAATAACAATGATAATAAAAATAATAGTAATTATTAATATTTATTATTATTATTATTATTATTATTATTATTATTATTATTGTAGTAAAGACCTGGAAGGCCATCCTGTCAGATTGTACAGAAGAACAAAACAAGGCAAAATTTGGTCTACTTAGCCTTAGAGAAAAACAAAACAAGACATTTGAAGAAAAACGAAATGACTACGTATGAGTCATGGCTTGAGTTTCGAAAAGGCAAAAGAAACTGTTACACTCATGGTTTGAATTTCGAAAAGGCAAAAGAAACTGTTAGACTAAATGTAGTTTTGTCGCTCCGAGTCTCAAAATGTCAGAAGAACCCCAGAACCATGGTGCGCTTGCTCAGAAATGAGCAGCGCTTCACTCCCCAACCCTAAGTAACCACTAGAACTGCCCCTGAGTTCCTGAAACATCAAGCGTCACCCCGATACTGCCTCCAGAGGGAAGTGCCACCCTGAAACAGGCCTCTGAGGCCAAGCGCCTCTCCGAGGATGAAGAAGAATCTCCGACGGGCAGTGCGGAGCCACAAGGATCTGCACGAGGATGCTACACGGGCACTTCATTCCCGTGCACATGACTTGCAGCAAGCAACACCAGGACCAGATGCTGGCAAACCCAACAATGCACCCTCAACCCGCTTGTTGGAGCAACAAGTTGACCATGTAGTCGCAATGCTCGGCGACATCAGCACCTTCGCCGCACCAGCCACCATCAGCGAGCAGCTTGACACCTTGAAGACCGAAGTTCGGCAACTACATCAACCACCCGACAACGAGGGAAGCACCAGTGCATCGCGGCCATACAAGATGTCGACGTTTCGGATCGAGAAGTTTGATGACTATACGCATCACGACCCGCTCGTCTGGTGGCAAGGCTTTACAACGGAGATTGGGATTCATGAGGTCCCCAATCACTTGTACATCTCGGCGCTGTTCCTCGACGCCAAGGGCGGATGCCAGATCTGGCTCGGCCACATGACAACCATCCCCCCCGCCCGCCATCAACTGCCTCTTCGCCATGACTCAAGGCAACACACCGACATGCGATTGGCTCACCGAATGGCAAAAGATCGTGGCAACACCGGATCTCGAGTTGCCATTTTCGCATCTGCGCTGGGAGTTCTACAACCGGTCGTCACAGGTCGTGTGTTGCCTTGAGCCTTGCACTCGGTGATCGAGAACAGTACAAGACCTTTGACGAAATCATCAACAAGGAGCGTGAGATCATGAAGACCAATCGGGCTGCTACACACGAGAAGTCGGCGTGGTAGCCATCCCATATGGAGAAAGGAAATTTGGTTCGCGTTCGCAGCCTGTTGCTGCAGTCCAACCGGACAACATTGTGGAAGACCCAACAACAACCCCAGCATCTCGTGAGGGAGATCAGGTGGCCGCTGTCCAGCCGCGAAGCAACAACAACTCCCGTGGAAAAGGGAAGGCGAAAAATGCATCGCCGACCGGAAATGAACAGCCAGTACCATGGGTCAAGTTTAACTTGACCGAGGCCGAATACAAGTACTGCAGCCGATATGGCTGCTGCTATTGGTGCAACAACACCAAGCACAAGACCTCCTAATCCCAAATCAAGACAAGGAGGATGTTCGACCTGAAATCAGCTTGGGAAACTCGGTTGCGTGGGAGGTGAGGCGACTTCACCTCTCACTCCGCCAGATTTGGCCGCCTTGCTAGCGACCTCCTACACATGTGGGGAGAATGCGGATGTCGCGAGTCCTCGGTTCACTTACGAGGATTACGTTGTCCACTTGGTCCCACCGTTGGACCACCCACTCCACGTGCAATAATTCACCACATGCACGGTTTCACCACTATCGGTAATCGATTCGGCAGCTTCGCTGCCAACTTTCGTCGGGGATTCGACGTCATGGTCAAGACTTGCGAGACTTGATTTGTTGAGGTTCGCGGACTTCTAATGGATGCCCCTTCCCCCGACCAGGCGATTGTCGAAACCGCTTACAACATGATGATGGCACAATTGCGGGATTACTTGCACACTGCAGTACCGACTCCGTTGATGGAAGTCGAAGTAGAGGTTGTTGACCTTCACGACTA